GGTCCCGCGAGCCCCCGCCCACCTGCCGGCACAACGGGTCACGGGAGAACTGACGCCGTGCCATGGAGTCCAGGTGCTCCCGAGAGGAGTAGCGGGAGGCGGGCTGGGACAGGGAGCCCGTCCCGGAGTACATGCGGCCATACGAAGCTGCCGGCACCGCCCGGTGACCCAGAGTAGACGTGCGGTACCAAGAGAGCTCGTTTGGCACGTTCCCCATGGAGGACAAACCCTGCAGCGCCGGGGGACAGCCCAAGTGGTTCTTCAGGATCCCTGAGAGGTCAAAAAGCAGCCATCAATAACCCAAGAGTGTGTCTGCGTCAGCATCAATAGGGGGCGCCAGCGTCCTTGAACCCAGCCCTCACCCCAGCGGCTGCGGTGTGCCTGTGGCAGCCTGTTCTCATCCCCGCTGGTCAGGGCAGCGTCGAGCTGATTGTTGTTGGCAGCATCCTTACTGTAGTCGACCCCCAGGCGGCGCTCTGAGCCCCACTTCTGTAGCGAGTGGACCTCGCACTCCTCCAACACTGGCCAATAGGAGAGCAGGTCATTGCCATCCAGGTCTGAGACATTCAAAGCAAGGTGAGCCTCACAGCAAAGCCACGAGCGTGGAGAGATACGTTAATTCGAGAAAGTCATGCTCAATTCTCAGCTGAAGTTGAGTGTCTCCCATTCCACAATGCAGCAGTGCATGATCCAGCAAATGATGCAAAGGAAGAGAGCCGAGTAATGGTATGTAGCTAACCTGTCCACCAATAAAACAAAAACATAAATATTAAGACAACAGGAGGTGACTGCTTAAATATTCAATTAAATTTACTGAACAGTAGTAATCACAGCCTGATTTGGTAATTGCTCTGCCCTGGACCGTAAAGCTTAGCAGACGGTCGTACGTTCTGCTGAACGCATCAGCAAGGCTCCCTGCAGGGCATTTACATTNTGGTAATTGCTCTGCCCTGGACCGTAAAGCTTAGCAGACGGTCGTACGTTCTGCTGAACGCATCAGCAAGGCTCCCTGCAGGGCATTTACATTGCTAGAGCAGAGCAGAGCTGCCAAAATCGGCAGGGACACAGCCCGCCCTAACAACTCTGCAGTCTCTCAGTGAGAACTCAGAAGGAGTTTCTGCCCTCAAGCTATCAAACTGCTTAGTACTTGATTCTCAGTTAAAATTTTACATCCCCTCCTTTTTTATGCACCCCACCCTTTATTTGAACTACGTTGCACATCTTTTTTTCATTATAACTTTATGTTCCTTATTTATACACATTTATTATATTGTTACTTTTAATTATGGCTGCAACGATTCATCGAATAACTCGATTACAAAAAATCCTCGATGCAAATTCTTTGCTTCGATGCATCGTGTAATCCGCATGACTATGTATTGCTTAGTGATCACCGTGTTTCACTCGGAGGATTATTACTGTCGCACAGTGTGCTTACGCTGCATTACGTGTAGCAAGTTTGATTTCATGGCGCAATGGAGGAAGACAGGGGAATTAGAAAGGAAAGTCGGAGAAAAAGACGAAAAATGTCTAAAGTTTGGGACCATTTCAAACAAAAGAAAAGCGAAAATACTGTACAGTGTGTACATTGTAAAACCGAATTAGCTTACCACAATAGCACAACGTCAATGATTCAACATCTCAACAGAAAGCACCCAGTCTATGCATCCAGTCCACAGAGCGGAACCAATACAAGGTAAGCGCGAGCGTTTGACTCACATCTGCGGCTAAACTTAGACCTGCGATAGAGACGTTTTTATGGGCGTGTTTGTGAATAAAAACAATTATTCAGCCCAAGCAGCCCCTATTTTTCTTCAACAAAAACAGTTAAAATTATGCTGTCGTAGTGTAATTAACATGGAGCTGGAGCCTAACAGCAGAGACGGTTCCGTTACAGAGATGGTGAACTCAGGTGGAGTGAAGGAAAACAACAGCAGTGCTTGTAATCGCTACTAAACATTTACTTGTAAAGAGCTGGCGTGAGTCCTTAATCAAATCAGCTAAAACAAGTTGAAAGGTGAAGAAAAGCGATGTTTTCAGTTGCTCCCATCCACCGACGTTTGTCTTCAACAGCACCAAGGCTACAGTAAAGCTATACAAGTAAAAATAGAAGCTGTTTATATGCAGATAAACTGTTAACTTAGTTTGACACAGTATTTAAATTTGACAAATTGACAGGCTGACAACGGCCGTCACTTTGTCGCAGTGATGCATGCAGTGGTGAGTCTAAAGGGGAGCATGGGGTATACTCAACTAGATCTATTTCAAGGCTTTAGTAATATTATTTTGCAGATTTAGATTAATATGAATAATATTACATAATTTTAATAACATAAATATGGGCCAGTAAAATGAGACACTGAATTATCCAACCACCACATACTCCTGTAAAGGCTTATACACACATACACTCATTCTCTAACACACATAAACACACACACTCTCACTCACATTCACTTTCACACACGTGAACATGCAGACACCATTCCTACCTCATCCAGGAGACACAATCCTGTCAGAACTTTTTTTTATGCCTTCTGTTAAATGTACAAGAATACAGAGTAAAGGCCATTTTAATTTGTGCCTTAGTTTAAAATATATGTATACCTTTTTTTTGACATAATTTTGTTTTTGCATTTAAGAAAATTTTCTTTAAAAAAAAAAAAGCAAAAAAAAAACCCCAAATATGTACATAAATGTACTTAAAGAGTTTAGTTCTTTTGTCAGTTGTTGTATGGAGTTCAATCATTAAAAATGTTCCTAAAAAGGAAACCCATGAGTTGTTCATTTTAAGAGACTATTTTTTCTTTTTTGAATAGTTACTATTGCTCTTTAATAAGACAAAAGTATTTCTTATCAGATGACTCGATTAATCGATGGAATAATCGAGAGAATACCCGATTTCGAAAATAATGGATAGCTGCAGCCCTATGCAGGACTTCCGTAAGGATGTGAAGACCACGGTGAAGCGTAACGCGGCCTGGAACGAGCTGCTGGTGGCGTTCAATGCCGCCTTCCCCGACCGG